GCCACGTAGAATTAAGGCAGTTCTGAAGGCGAAAGGGGGTCAAACACCGTATTAGTATGGTGTTCCTAATAATCCTTTAGGTGAGTGTATACTGCCTTGGCCAATGGAGAGTTATTTCCTATGGGGGCAAAATCTGAGCCTCACCATGTCAGCAGGGGCCATTTCTGATGATTATTTTCATGATCCAAGAAAGCTACAATAATAGACTTGTTTGATTTTTAATTTTTCAAAATACATGCAGAAATCAACAGAACCTGTACATTTTTCATGCGTAAGTTGTGTATTTTAAGTTATTTAAAAAAAGATTTGTGGGCGAATTCACCTTCATAGACTTGATTATTATATCCCTGTTTCTATATGATTATGTTCTATGTTATTATTGTTCTGATGATCTTGTGGGTCAGTAACAATGGCTCAGCTTCTGTCCTGGTCTGCTTTAGACAGAGGGAGAGTCACCATCCCTATTTGCCGTGGCTACTTGAAAGTTCCTCCGAATATGGGATCGTATACAAAGTGAATTAAGGAAATAATAAAAATGCACACCACAAAAGGAAAATTACAACTGAGACTACAGAAATACAATTTCAATTTAGAGGAACTAGATTATGAATCATGATTTGGGGGAGGGGGAGGGCGTCACATGTTTTAACGGATATTGCCCACCTCTGTCACAGGCGCTGGACAGCGACAGGACAATCTTGCAGAAGATGAAGAAAGCTGCCAAAGCGAAGCACGTTTCTGGTCAAGGTGACGATCCTTCTTGCTATAGCACCTGCAAACCTGTCGAGTCTTTGTACACATAAAGAGTAGCATGGGAAAGAGAAGCTCCCCCTATAGGCACCACATGGCATATTTCATATACGCTACGTTCTTCAAAGCAAGCTACTCTTCCACAATTTTGTGTTAATTGGTTGTTTTTTTCCCCCTTAATTTCTTCCTATACCTAATAAGTCAAATACGTAGATGCAATTAATTGCTTGGACTGATGCTGACAATGATTGATATAGAGACAATGTACCCAACAACCCCCCCCCCAAACACCCAGACCACATCTCGCATCTGGAGCTGTATATCAACGCTGTGGAGAAGCTGGCAGTGAACTTCTGCACCAACGGGGAGCAGGAGCTGTCATCCGCCTTCAATAAGTTTGCAGACTTTTCCAAAGAGCTGCTGGTGCCCATGAAAAACCTGGTGAGGATCTGGGGGGGGGGGGTTCTGTGTATTGGGCTGAGATTTTATTTCTTTTATTTGCTCCAAATTGCTGGTGCCCGTTCGTGAGGCTTAGTGAAGCAGTTGAGAAAACCATTTTAATTTCTATAGATGTGTTTCTCAGTTATTACTGTACAGACACCAAGTTACGGTTAAGAATTAGACTCTGCAGCTACAAATATCAGTGATTTTTTTTTCCAATACAGATTGTCACCTTTGCTCAGACGTCCTGAACATTTTGGAGTAATTTATGGCGTACTTGCTCACTATGCTTATATGCTTATTATGTGTGACATCACTCTAAAATAAATTGGCTTGAGTCTACTGCTGTCAGATCGTTCCTCGTTATTTGTGCTTTTAATGGACCCATTCATACGAAATATCCTGCCGAAGGTCATTTGCCAAGATGTTCAGACACTTTATTGCTTGTCAAAGAGGAATTTGTGTGTGAACGCACTGAGGCTGATGTCGCCCCCACAGCTGAAGAGTATGCTGCACAACGTCAACTTCTTCTTGGATTCGCTCGTCAAAGGCGACCTGAAGGAGGTCAAGGGTGTAAGTTCAAAAGTCAGGCGGCAAGAAGCTCTTTTGTTGGAAAAAGTTACCTGGAATCTTCTAAGCCAAAGTTTGAAGTGCCTTGTACTACTAGCAATCTTCTACATTTGATTTATTTAGTGACATATAGATATAATTTTGTCTTGTGTCTTGATATGTAGCAGTGTGTTAAGTAGTACCACACTGAGATCATTTCTTTAGATCTGTCAGAATTTGGTAACCGTCAAAAATGGACATTTCTGCTGACAGCCACATGGTGGCGTCCCCAGCAGTGTGCATACGCTGTGCAGTGACCATGTGTCTCCTCTCCTGTGCAGGACCTGAAAAAGCCCTTCGACAGAGCATGGAGGGATTATGAAAATAAGTTGTAAGTGAGGCCATGCAGATACCTGACACGGTGCATGAACCACTCCTTGGTTTTTATCGGGATTTTTACTGGGAAAAAATAACTTTTTTCCACTGTTTTAAAGAAAGTATCTATCCCATACAATGGTAGTTGTGGTATTTGCTCAGAAAATATACAGTGGATTATTAATGACTAGAGAGGTATGTCTGCAAACATCTTTAACAGGAAAGAAAACAGGCCACGTCCCCTCCCACTGCAGGAGCAGACCCTCACTGGCTAATCACTGGCATGTCTTGAAAACCAATTTGCCTGTATGCGTTTTTCCGTATAGCGTAGGCATGTGTGATGGGGGGGGGGGTCTGTGGTCTGTGAAACTTTCATGTGGACAGTGTATGTAACGTGATGCCTGAACACGCCTGCATCTGTCTGTCAATAAATACACGCCCCAGGACACCGCAGGCTTCAGCAGAGTTTACTCATTTGTTCCCAAGTCATGTATACAGTGTCCTACTTATACATCTGGTTTCCACATTCTGACTCGGGTCGGTTTCTTTCCACAGAGAAAAGCGTGTTGTATGAAAGTAAACTTGTTCTGAAACAGATGTTGCTGCAAATATGTCCGGGGGGATCTACATACTTTCATTGTGCCATTGTTTGTCCTGCGTTATTGTACAGGCCTTAATAATTATAAACACATACTTCACCTCTGGCCAAAGGTACTAAACTTATAATACTACCTGAGAATCACCCTGATGACTCACACAGCTCAAAGGCATGCTGTTAGGCTAAATGATATCTCTGAATTCCCCCTAGTGTGTGTGTGTGTGTGTGTGTGTGTGTTAATAGGCTGTATAGAAAACAGCGTACCTCAGTGTATATGACTGCTGAGTAGCATAGAAAATGAGTGTGACACATTGCAAGATAACACCTAAGAGTATAATTTGACCATTCACTTCACCATTCCAGTTGTGCTGGTTGGTAAACGCTTCCAAAATGCACAGTTCCTGCTCCCTGGCTCTACTGTCAGGTCCTTACAGCTGAGATGTTTTGATGTCCACGTTTAGGTCTTACTCATTTGTTTCAGGGTTGTGCTCTGGCTGCGAATCTCGGGCTGGTTAAAACACTGAGATTTCCTCATCATGTTCCAGCACCAAGATCGAGAAGGAGAAGCGGGAGCTGGCGCGGCAGTACGGCATGGTGCGTACCGAGGTCAGCGGCGGCGAGATTGCCGAGGATCTGGAGAAGGAGCGCCGCATGTTTCAGCTGCAGATGTGTGAGGTGACTAAGGGGCGGGGCTTCCCACCACTGGCCAGCCAATCAGATATGAGGCATGCTATCCTTGCTAGGCGTGTGCATGTGAGCATGTAGCTATTCCTGTTCTCCAGCTACATTACTAAATATTAATGTGCTGCTGCAGAAACGTCAGTATAAATCAAATAGTGTAAACCATGTATTTGTAAAAGATGTGTGACACGTTTATTTGTATATTTAGAATAGAATTTACTTTAAAGTAATTAGGTGAACGCACTACACGTTGTAAATGTTTGAATGCAGTCACGAGGAATGTAAAGAATCACTGTGTCATTGTCGCACAGCTATGAGACGCACTAAGTTTTCATTTCCAGTGCTGTGGGTGACAGCCTGCTGTGGCTGGATGTTCCCTGTCTGGCAAGAATGCCTGTGTGTCATGTGACCGTCAACACTGCCCCCTCCCGCCCCCTCCCGCCCCCTGTCTCTCCATAGTACCTTATCAAAGTGAACGAGATCAAGACCAAGAAAGGCGTCGATCTGCTACAGAATCTCATCAAGCACTACCACTCGCAGTGCAAGTGAGTCGCAGCTCGCCGGCTGCTTAATTACCCTCGTTCACTGCTCTCTTCCAGGCGGCCCTGATGCCTAGCAGTGAATATTATGTATTTGCACAGTTGCTTGATTTTGCTGAAGCACTCATGCTGAAGTGCCTCTCAAGGGTCTAACAGCATCACCCTTGTGGGATTTAAACAACCACCTATTGAATAGAAAGCCTATTTTCACCACTATGGCACCTTCAGCCAAGTTAAGCCATTCCTTCCATGTTACCAGGTCATGTTTCAACCTTGGGAGAGGTGGAGATGAAAACAAATTGTTTTAAATATATGTAAACATCTTTTTGACACACTGTGTCTCACATAACACACAAGAAGGATAATCATGAGCGCTTTTATCTTATTTGCTTATTAATGCCTGTTGGAATTAAGTTGTAGCTGTAGGCAATTAAATACATTGAGAAGTATTTGCACAACTGTGTCTGTTCTATTCATGAAATGACGCTTTATTTTCCATTTGTACAGGTTATATAGGAATGACATAGTTTTCACGTATTCCATCATACTCTATTATGAGACAGATACATACATGCAAAAGCAAAGCCTGGGGTCAGTCATTAATTTGGTACCCCTGGACTGTCTTTTAGGGTTAAGGGCCTTGCTCAAAGACCTCACAGCTTTGATTATTCTGTCAAGCATGGGATTTGAATCAGTGACCTTCTGATCCTATGCACAGAGACCTATCCCACTGAGCCACCCATACCTGAACACAGCAGGAACTGTGCTCTGATGCAGGGAGGTGCACTGCCTGTATAGTGAGGAGGTACATTGATGTGAGGAGGTGCACTGCTTATATAGTGGGGAGGTACACTGATGTGAGGAGATGCACTGCTTATATAGTAGGAGGTACACTGATGTGAGGAGGTGCACTGATGTGAGGAGATGCACTGCCTGTATAGTGGTGGGTACGTTGATGTGAGGAGATGCACTGCCTGCTGATGTGAGGAGGTGCACTGCCTGTAAAGTGGGGGAGGTGCACTGATGTGAGGAGGTGCACTGCCTGTAAAGTGGGGAGGTGCACTGATGTGAGGAGGTGCACTTTCTGTAAAGTGGGGAGGTGCACTGATGTGAGGAGGTGCACTGCCTGTATAGTGGTAGGTACGCTGATGTGAGGAGGTGCACTGATGTGAGGAGGTGCACTGCCTGTATAGTGGTAGGTACGCTGATGTGAGGAGAAGCACTGCCTGCTGATGTGAGGAGGTGCATTGCCTGTAAAGTGGGGAGGTGCACTGATGTGAGAAGGTACACTGATGTGAGGAGGTGCACTGATGTGAGGAGGTGAACTGCCTGTAAAGTGGGGAGGTGCACTGATGTGAGGGAGGGTAAGGCAGAAATGCAGCATCTAGCCCCTGCAATTCAGGGCCAAATTCAAGATTTATTACTCCATTATTAAGACTCATTAATCTCATACTTTGTGAAATGCCTGGAAAAAATGCTGTTTTACCTACCTGTGACCTACTGGCTGTGTGCCCTCTGTGGTTAGCCTGGTGGGGGCTGTTATGTTAATCGGGGGCTGTTATGTTTAAAGGTGTTAAATCCATCTTCATCCTCAGCTTCTTTCAAGAGTGCCTGGTGACCACAGAGAAACTCAAGCGGCACATCGAGGACCTCACCGGAAAGCTGAACCACGTGAGTGCCGTCCACAGCACGCCACCGAGGGCCGCCCAATCGCAGCATGCAATGCTGGGGAGGCCAGAGAGGGAGGGGTGCTGAGACATGTGCCCCCATTCCTGCGAAGGGCTGTTATCCTAAAGGGGCTCTCTGCAAAACTATCAGAAGATTTAGATTAAAGTAGCCAGAGACTCTTTTATAGACACAGTACTGTAAGTGAATCCTCTGTAAGGGGTGGGGGGGGGGGATTAAAAACAACGTACAAGTAAAAATATTCCCATGATGCTGCGAATGTCCAGCCTCCCTGCAGAATCATTAGTGTCTTAACTGCTCTGACTTGCTGGCCTGCAGTGTGGGTTCCAGGTTAAATGCTGCGGGTCAGTTAAGCCGACCTTGGAAAGGGCTGCTGGATAATAGCTGCTATACTCCCACAGCTGCCCCTCTGTCTGGCCTGGACTGACCACAGCTGCATCTCAAAATTCAGGGTGCATTCATCCTGTTACTGTGGTAACAGGGGCAACGAAAAGGTCATTCATCAAGTGAAAAAGGATTCCCTGTTAAGGAATACTGCCCAAAACAGCATCTTATGTAGTATTCAGTGTTTACAATATGATTTGTGCACTACTCCTCTGTCGCAGAGATACATGTCCATTAATCATCGTATAAAAAAGAAAATTAAAGCACAAAGATCAGGAACCAGATGTGCCTACGAGAGCTGTCAGATATTGCTTTGCCTGTTATTATTTTATCATACAAATTGAGAGTTCTGTTGCTTTTTCTAAGTGTTTCACACAGTTAAGTGACAGCAAGAGTGTGTCGTGGCATTGGGCCTGGGTCTCTCGCTAGGCCTGAGGAATCACAGCGATAATGGCGGCTTGCGGGGGGGGTGGAGGAGTGTGTCATTAAGTGTTCTGGCTGCCCCTGTGCAGATCAAACACACCCAGGACGAGGAGAAGAGGCGTTTGTGCTCCCTGAGAGAGCAGCTGCGGCCCATCGTGCAGCCCGAGCTGAAGGAGGTAAGGCCCGGCTCGGGTCTTCTGGGATTTCGGGGTTAAGCGGCACACCAGAGGGCGGCTGGGGGGCTTCGGCAGTAAGATAATGATGTAGTTACACAACCGCAAGGTGGAGAGGTGGGCACCAGCTGGAACACGTTCAGGGGCTTTTGAGGCCGGTCTTGGATGTCAGTGCTGACCAACCTCCAGTTATGCATTTTATTATCTGATTCATGTGCATTATGAGCCTTTGCCTAATAACGCTTGTGTTTTTTATTGCAAACACTGCAGTCCAGAAGAGTAAGTTACATTTGTATTTGATGTGTGTTCTAATGTTGGTGCCGAATTCTGTGACACGTTAAGCTTGTTTTTCTGTCAAAGCACGTCTTTGGGTCTGTGTTCTGTGCTGCTGTTGAAACTGTCTGGCTGTCAACATTCATAGCTTGGTTTATTTGTGGATTTTTTTTCCTCATTCATTTCTGGCAAGAGTGTTAAATATTTTTATTACATCATTTTGATGAATGCAGTGCATTCTGCTTCTTTGTCTGCTTTATAACATCCATTTGTCAGCAGTTTCCCAATCCGCTAAGCATTCAGCACCCCTTTTCTCCTGTTTGTACCCATTCATCTTTTTGTTTAAGCATGTGTGTGCTTAGACATGCTTTAAAATCTCCAAAAAATTGCATCTCTGTCTACTGCCAATGTTTCTAGCTGCCCCATCTCCTGGCCAGTACATTATGGTTCGTTTGCTGGGCAGAGTAATTCGGTTTGGCCTTTCAGATATAGGAAGTGACATGTGTTTCTGCTTGTTTGGTGCAGGACTCTCTCAGTAAACAGTCAGTCTACAGCATGCATCAGCTTCAGGGCAACAAGCAGTATGGAACAGAGAAGTCTGGCTACCTTTACAAGAAGAGTGATGGGTAATGACCCCCATAATCTCCTTATTTTTTATGTATTTAGAGTTGCAGCTACTTAACTTGATAGTAAAATACCCGAAATAGGCCTACTTATCAACAGTACACTTACATTAATAGCATGGAATTAAGGGATGCTGTATTTGCCATGCTATACAAAATTAACATTAATACATTAATTAAAAATAAAGAAAAAGGGGCAAAATTAGCAATCTGCTAATTGAAGAGCGAATTCCCAGTACCTAGTCCACGTTTTTGTTCTTTTGTGATGAGAATGCCAATGACTTAAAAACCTAAAGTCAGACTTCCTCATCATCTGTTACAATTTTGGGAACCAAAACTCAGTCAGTTATCATGTAATCCATCAAGAACTTTTGTTGAATTATCAAAACTCATTAAGTCCACAGACATTTTCCCGAAAACTCAGTGAGTTTCGGAAATTTGCTCTTCAATTAGCAGTTAGCTAATTTTGGCCAGTCTGCCCCATTTTTTCTTTATTATTGCCTTAGAAACAGTCAATGTTAGGAAGCTCTTTCTCTGGAACTCATTTCCCTCCATAAAGGCTGAATGCCGAAACTGTCCCTAAATGGGAGTGACACACTCCCCGGCACGCAGTCACGGGACTTTTTCTTCCCCACAGGCTGAGGAAGACATGGCAGAAGAGGAAGTGCGCCGTGCAGAACTGCTACCTGACCATCGCTCACGCCACCGTAAGTGTCCCCACGAGGGCATCCGTAGCGAACACACTCACCTGCGGAAAGCATACATAGCGTGCGGCAACATGGGTACATATGCTGATATACAGTGGGGTTTTTCATTATTAAATATAATCACTTAAATATTATTGCTTACGCATGTCCAGTGGTTCAGTGGGTGGCACTGTTCCCTCACCAATCGGGGTTGGGGGTTCGAATCTTACCTCCGCTCCATGGAGTTTGCATGTTGTCCTCGTGTTATGGAAAATCGTCTGTAAAATAGATGCTTATGAAATGTCTTGTGGAATTTCCGCGGCATACCTACAGCCTTTGTCACCACCAGTTCAGCTTTTGCCTGACAAATGCCCCGTTCAGACATGCACGTCATTTACGGCCTCAGGTGTCATATTTGACGTTTGCTGCACGTGTGGCCCCAGGCCGTCTCTTCGCCTTGAGTGTAACCCTGATCCTTCCTGCTCCTCAGCCTAACAAACCTCCAGCTAAGCTGAACCTTCTCACCTGCCAAGTCAAGCCCAGCCTGGAAGACAAGAAATGCTTCGACCTCATCTCCCGTGAGTCGCTGGGCCCCCCGCATCCTGCAAACTTCTGGAACATTCCTGTTCCATTTTGTATGACTCTCAGTAAGAGTGAAGTCTCAGTTTAGCAGAGATTCATTCATGATGTTCCCATTTGGTTGTGTGGCCTAAGGCGGTATATTCCCTTAGTGGTGGCCTGTAAAAAGTCACTGTTTACCTCAGAAAGGACAGCCATCCTCATTGGGGGCCGCTGTTGTGCTTTAAGCTCTAATTATTTATCGACACAGAGACTCTAGACCAGGGGCGGGCAATCTTATCCGCAAAGGGCCGGTGTACATGCAGGTTTTCGCTGCAACTCCCTAATTAGGTCACTAATTAGAGGACTGATTGGCTGAAGAGTCCTCACACCTGGGTTTGAACAGCTGACCTAAAGGTTTTCCCCAAAACCTGCGTACACACCGGCCCTTTGCGGGTAAGATTGCCCACCCCTGCTCTATGCGCTGAGATGGCAGATGCCAGCTGCTAATTATGGGCCTACTTCAAAGCGCCATGTGACCTGAGGTGTGCTTTGCCCCTGACCCTGTTCGGCTCCTCGACATTCTATTTGGAAATAAAGGCCTTTTAATATGAGGTCCTGTTCTTCACCTCGGCGGTAATGGAGCACAGGGGAGTGATGGCCTGTGTTTGAAGCCGGCGGTGATGATTTAGCGTCGCCGTGCCGCGGGCTTGCACAGGTCTGCCGCCTCAAGCAGGTCTGGACACGTTAATGATGCTCATCAATCTCATGATCCCCCCGCTCTGTGTTTTCTGCAGACAACCGCACGTACCACTTCCTGGCAGAGGACGAGCCTGAATGTGTGGTGTGAGTTCCCCCCTCTGCTTCCCTCTCCGTCAGTGTTGACGCAGCATCAGAGTTTTCATTAAGTGGCTGATTAACACCCTGTCCTTCTCCACCATGTGCTGTGGAAGCCTTTACAGGGAGGAAACTGTGTGTGTATGTTTGTGTGTGTGTGGGGGGGGGGGATTAGCCGCCTGCTTAGCACAGCTTTTCAGGGACACTTCATGTGTGGAGAAATGGCTCTTCCTCTGTGAGCCTTTTCCACGTGATGTGGTGGAAGTCTCTGACCTTATCGGTGCATGTAAAGAGCAGTCGGCCATTTTGGTGATGCCTCACTGCTGTCTGACTGCATAAAACCTCTTCCGTCCTTTTTTACTTTTTTTTACTTTTCAGAACCCTGTGACATATTTGATAATATGTATGCATTTATTATACAGCTTAGCAGACCACATGCAATCATACCCCACGTCTTTGTTTTAGACTTCAATAAATCTTTAACTACTTCATTCATTCAGCATTTTGTAATGGCTTGTAACCCCACAGTTACAAATAATTGCCATTTATAGTTATAGAAAAGTTGTGCTTGGGGGTGGGTGGCTTTGTGGATTAGGACCCTGTAATCAGAAAGTCATTAGTTCAAATCACATGAGAGAGTGATGTCATCATTGGGCCCCTGAGCAAAGGCCCTTAACTCTAATCGCTCCAGGGACTGTCTGACTCTGCTCTCTCAATTGTATGTCGCTTTGGATAAAGTGCTTGCTAATTAAATGTAAAAAGAAGTCAAATTAAATGAAAATAAAAGAAGTCCTTATATACATCAGAGTCAGTCAACAACAGACACTTGGCTGTAGTTGTGAATACACTGAACTTACTGAGAAGGCTGTGTAGGCCTAGAATTCTGCCCCAAAATGGCGCCTCTGTTGATACGAGCATCTGTGACCTTTGTCCTGATGTCTTGCTCGTTATGTCTCTCCGGGGCAGCAGAGTGGTTCATTCAGCCAGAAGCGCGAGTGTCGTACATGTGACAGTCAGCTGCAGATAGAGAGGCTCCTTTATGGCAAGCAGCCTGTTTATTAATAGCAGCGCCAGCCCTTTGAGGACGTGTGTGAGATCTAGCAGCTCAGATAAAGAATAACTTTGGCTCTGTTTCAGTTTGGTTTCAATTTGGTTTAAAATGCACCTGTGGCGATTGGATCACAAGTGAACCACCGAGACGCATTGTGATCTGCTTACTCTAACCACTTGCTGTGGTGCTCTGGGACACATTTGACCACATATATTTGGTGTCACTTTACAATAAGGCTGCCCATATAAGGAGTTTATGAATGGTTTATAATGTGGTTATTAATTAGGTTGTAACACTTTGTAAATTATTAGACAATTTTAAATAAGTTACAACAGTTTTCTTTTTATGAATGAGTTACTACCATTTACAAGTGACAAAAGGGAGCCTTATTGTAAAATGGTACCATATTTTTTAATAGAACAAACACTAATGCATCCTGATGCGTCCTTGACAAGGACGTTGCACTAGCTGTGCATTGGGCCATTGGACCTTCCGGCCTGACGCAGGCAGTAACGAAATCCGAACACAAGTGGTCCGCCAGACACCATGGAGAAACACGATGGAAACAGATGTGAATGGTGATGTCACAGCTTTCTACCTGTGATCCTGTCATGAAAGACACATTTCAGAACTAAGTGTAAACGGGGCCTTTGAAAGGGCAACATGAGTTCTATTGCTCTTTAGGTGCGTAGAGAAGCTGTGCCAAAATTCAATGTCCATTGGAGTTATCCACCAAAACACTACAGTTCAAGGTCAATGTGATGGATTGTTACCCAAAATACTCTATGCATCACTGACCAATTCATATTTGAAATTTACTTCGTAATAACGAAAAACAATTACAAAGTGATAATATTCAATTTTCCTAATGTGGAAAATCGTTTTCATAGTCCAGGAAGTATTAATTAGTTGAGAGGAGGGTAAAGGTGAGACCTGATTGGAGCAAAGAAGAGCAGGCAGAAAGTAATTTCGGAGATGCATGATGTGTGGGCAGAGGCGTAGGAACCGGGGGAAGGAATGTGTGCCCCCCAATATTTAATTTGGCTTCTTGCTTCCCTGCCACGCAAAAAATAGATCTTTCCATTTAAATGATTGTGTGTCCCCCAATATCAAGCTCTCTCCTATGCCCTTGTATATGGGGGGATGTGATGGCAGCTGGATGGTATTGGCTTCTGAAGCATCTGTGAATCTGTCCTGCAGCCTGAGAGCGCAGCCATGGCCAGAATCATGAGAAATGTGCGCGTTTTGCTCAGAGAGGGACACTTTTGGGTTAGACGCTTCAGCGACATACCGGATCGGTTACTGACGTCCATCTGTCTGCCTTCCTGCTCCAAAAAAAAGGTGGATCTCAGTGCTGACGAACAGCAAACAGGAGGCACTTAACGTGGCTCTGGATGAGCGCAGGCCCAGCGGGGAGAACAGCGTGGAGGACCTGACGCGGGCCATCACCGCTGACATCCGCCGCATGCCGGGGAACAGCGTCTGCTGTGACTGTGGGGCGCCAGGTGACGCACCTTCACCCGCCGCTGGCTCTGTCACCGTATCGCAGTGTCACTCATCATTGGGGGCAAGGGCGGCTCTCTCCTGTCCCTTCATCCCAGCAGCCTGATCGATATGCACTCACTGTATTTAACCACAGTCTATTATTCAGTACGGTTTATAAAGTTATATCACAGCCAATGTAGCTTGATAACAGCACGAGAATCACTGAACTGGAATAAAACTGAATATAAAAGTACAAAACCTACAGCACAGGCCAGGGCTGGACTGGCCATCTGGCATACTGGGCAATTACTGATGGGAATGTGGCCCGGCAAAAGTCAGTGTGTGAGTAAAAGTCATCGTGGGGAGTCCCACAGTCGGCAAAAGTCAGTGTGTGAGTAAAAGTCATCGTGGGGAGTCCCACNTAAAAGTCATCGTGGGGAGTCCCACAGTCGGCAAAAGTCAGTGTGTGAGTAAAAGTCATCGTGGGGAGTCCCACAGTCGGCAAAAGTCAGTGTGTCAGGAAAAGTCATCGTGGGGGGTAACACAGTCGGCAAAAGTCACCCTGGGGGACTGATTCTTATTCCCAATCCAGCCCTACCCCAGGTTTTTTGGAACTGTGAAAATGAAAGAATATGACTTTTAGGCTGCATGCATGGTTACTAATATGGATGGTTAATATTTGGGTAACATTTTAGTTCTTGTCATCAATAAACAGTGCAAAACAGTGACTTTTTTCTGAAAAACAGTTCTGTAGAAAAGCTCCCTGTTTTTTTAGCCTGCATCTAATTTTTATTGGTTAACACGGGTTTCATCCTGTTACTGTGTTGTACGGTGCACCTGCCAATCATCAGGTGCCGCCCTATTCACTACAGGGTGAGAATCCTCTCATAAACAGTAGCTTAAAGGAAGGAGGAGTGCATGGCTAATTGTGAAATATGAGGATTAAGCTGGTACCCAGTCCATCCCTGCTGAGATGCTGGTGATGATGCTAACTCTCTCACACTGACAATCCAGCTCTTAACCAGTCAGTTTCACTCTTAGAAATGAGTAACGGAGCAGTAGGCAAAATACATTTTAGTGAAAGTGCTTTGTAAAGATGAGGGAAATCAAGCAGTGTCCCACTGCTGGGAGAACAGTAAAATCAGCCCACACAAGATGGCAGCATCTCCCAGACCATTTTCACATTCACATTCATTGATTCACCTCAACTGGACTGCATTTGGGCAGCAAGCATTGCTTAAACTGAACATTATAAGACATGAAAAACTGTGAAAAATGGAGAAAGAATATAAACCAGACATGTCTGCATACCGCATAGCTGAAGGATTTGAGAAAAAAGGGAGTCTGGATCTGGCAGCCTTCCTGACAGCATAGCAAGGCGAAAAGCGAATCTCAGGACCCAAACCTCTAAAGGTCTCCTTAGGCATGTAAGCAGGAAAGGACACCATGATCTACTGTGATATTCCACTGGATATTTGTACTGAAAGGATTTGGCTTAAGTGTCCCCTTGAGGGGGTGCAGCAGCAAACACTGCTATCTGACCCTGGAGTTCTGGTCACGAGTGCAGATTTACTGTGGCCCCCAGCGGCACATAGACGGTGATCGCTGTGCTGCTGCAAACCATCACATGGCTTCAGTGCTTCACTTCAGTACATACAAGTGAAGTGTTGAATGTGGTTTGTCAGCCTGAAACTGGTTTCCATGCTGTTTATAATGAATGTGTTTAGTCCACAGACACGTAATTTTTTCTGAAGCATGGGATCTTCAAAGTGGATGCCGCCTTTTTAACGTTTCTCTCGTTTCCCCCCATTTGTGGGGCTTGCATGCTGCTCTCAGACCCCACCTGGGTCTCCACCAACCTTGGTATCCTCACCTGCATCGAGTGCTCCGGCATCCACCGCGAGATGGGGGTGCATCATTCCCGTATCCAGTCCCTGTCTCTGGACAAGCTGGGCACCTCTGAGCTGCTGGTATGTCCTGCCTGCGCTCATTCAGACCCTGAACACTGTGGTTGCATGTGGAAGCTGTGACACGTATCGCATGACCCCTGAGGATGGTGTTAATCTGTATACCTCAAGTGGACATGAGCTATGCTGTGCACCTTATGTAATTCTCAGCATGACAGAGAGCCACCAATTAAAAACACTGTACGGTTCTTTATTTACATTAGTTTTTGTTTAGCAGATGCTTTTGTCCAAACGACATACAAGTAAACAGCACAGTACAAACATAGACTAGGCTGAGCTTCCGATGAATGGCTAGTTAGGAGTGTAAGCAGTATTCGAGCAAGAGCTATACATCCATCCATTATCATAAGCACTTAGTCCCCACTGGGGTTGCTGGATGCCCAGAGCCTATCCTGGGAGCATCAGGCAGAAGCAGGAACCAACCCTGGGTGGGCACCAACACTCACACAACTACAGGGCCAATTTAGACATGCCACTCAGCCTACCCTGCACGCTTCTGGACCGTGGGAGGAAACCAGAGCCCCTGGTGAAAACCCACACAAACACAGGGGGAGTGTGCGAGCTCCACGCAGAAAGGACCCGGAATCAAACCCAGGACTTTCTTGCTGTGAGGCAGCAGTGCTAACCACTGTCCCACCATGATGCCCAAGAGCTATACGACACCTTTCAAACAGGAAGAACCTACTAAGACTATTCACTGACCAGAAGTGTAACATTAAGGACATTCAGGGAACATAGTTCAGTATTAGGCTTGCAAGGCTATTCCTTGTAACCTTGAGGTATTCAAGTGAAGTTTTCTCAAAACATAAAGTAATTCTAGGAATTCTGCCCACGAAGCCAGTAGACATCCTTTAGAAGTGCGGCGTGAGCTTTGCTGCTTTTCCTCCTGTAGGCTTACTGTCTCTCTCTCTTTTCCAGCTGGCCAGAAACGTGGGCAACTCAGGATTTAATGAAATTGTAGAGGCCAATCTTCCCAGTCCCTCCCTGAAGCTGTCTGCCGAGAGCGACATGTGGGTCACAAGCTCTACAGATTAAACCCAAATGACTTAAATGTTCATGTCGTAAATACTCTGGTTCTGCTGAGCAGCTCACACTCTGTGTCTGTGTTTGTGTGTCTGTGTTTGTGTGTTATACGATCTGCACTCTTACGTAACTTCATTTATATCTTTCTTTATAGTACATACAGCATGTTTTTTTTTCTGTAAAAGAGTTATCTTGTTCACCCAAATAAGCAGTGTATTGCCGTTTAAAACGTACAATTCTGGGAATTTTCTATTTAATATGGGCAATATACAGCAATTTATTAGGGAAAAGATTGAATTATCCATCCATCACCGCTTAATCACAACCGGGGTCACGGGAGCCTATCCTGGGAAAATGGGCACAGACAGGAACCAACACACTGCAGGGCACACGCAGGGCCAACTTAGAATCACCAATCAACCTATTCTGCACACTTTTGGACTGTGGGAGGAAACCAGAGCCCCCAGCAGAAACTCACACAAACACAGGGAGCTCCACACAGAAAGGACTCAAGACTAAACCTTGGACCTTTTTGCTGTGAGGCTGCAGTGCTAAGCACTGTACCACCACGCCACCCAAGACTGAGTCATTTCATATAATTTCCTTAAATGTGATTCTAACTCAGTGATTAACAAATAATGTATGGTTTCAACTGGTTAAAATGCAAATGTATGTTTTGAAGTTATCCAGAGACTGATTTTTTATAACTGCGCCTTGCTGAGTGACCTCAGTTTCAGCCGGACTTGCAGCACTGTTAGTGGTTGTAAACATCCCAGTCCTGGGGTCATGAGGCCTGTATCACAAAGCAGGATTTCTTGCTTAGCTGGATAACTTGTCTGACTTAAAGTACCCCAGTTTAAATGGGTTTCATCTTCGTTCACTTACATTTACCCCAGACTACCTTCAATCTAACAAGTTATTCAGTTAAGAAAGAAATTCTGCTTTGTGATATAGGCCGCAGATGCCCTAGGAGGCCACATCGGTGTTTGTGCTTTTATTTTAACAGTGATAGGTTTACTGTGATGGATTATAGGGAATTGTGACTTTAGTCTTCCAGCTTCTCGACATGACCTGGAATTTTCTGGATTAGCTTCAGGACTCTGTTAGCACCAGGTACAACATGCATAATTACTGGGACCTGGAACAAAATGACTTCAGCCGGGCTTCATGATGCACAAGCCCTCCACCTTGGGCTCTCTACTGTCCCCCAGGACAACTTGCCCAATGGTGTCACCGAGATGGCGGGCCAGGTTTGCACTGGTATGCAGAAATGGGAAACAGGACATGGAATGTTCTAGACCATACAGGAAGTGGAGCGAAAGCATAGAGCAGTCACTGGCTAGTGTGCTTGATGCATATGTCAGTTATTACTACAGTAGACTCATGACTGCATCCTGACTTTTCGAAATATCGTGGCGTTTGCATAGGAAATTAAATGGGATTTTTTTGGGGGAGTTTTTCAAAAGTTGCAGACAACACGCAAAAAGTTTAGTGACTCATAAATGCATGAAATATACGTGCAGTGCAAGCTTGGAGGACGCCAAGCGTGTCTACGGCAGCCTCTCACTTGATATCTCGCAGTGATCTTTATATCTCACACATCTGTTTACTTTGCTCGCTCCACTTGCATGCATTTTTTGCCAGATCATTCTCTGTGCATCTTCAAATTGTCCATAGTGTATTTGTTTGTGCACCATGCAATGGATCAGGCCCTTTTCTTATTCTGCTATTAAGCAGATAGAAGATGGATGAAGGGATCCTTCCTATATGTATCTAAAGTGTTTAAATACCCGCAATAACAGACTTGCCTTATAAGAAACTGAAGAGGTTAAGTGCTGTGAGGGTAAGAAGCCTGAGAAATTCAAGACATCATCTCAAGACGTTTCGCAAGCGATGGTGCAATTTGGAGCTGAGAATTCTGGGGTATCGTGGCTGTGAAACCTGCAAATGTGATCCCTGCACAGTTCCTCACCTCTTCCTTTCTGGCCTCTGCCCACAGGACGGCGAGGAAGGAGTTCATCATGTGCAAGTATGTGGAAGGGCAGTTTGCCCGGCGCAGCGGCGACTCCCCCGCAACCATGCGGAGGAGCCTGCAGGAGGCGGTATACAGGCGCGACATCTTCGCCCTGCTCCGACTCTATGCCGAGAAGATGGACCTGAGCCAACCGTTGCCAAACCACATGCAGGTATTGGATGTCTGCTGTGTATACATGTCAATCTGAGACTGAGCCCTAATCCTAAAATTCTGCGGCCTTGACCCCGTCGTTGATACTGCAGGTCATTGAAATACCGCTGCATCATTGTGTTCCTTGCCAAAACCATTTATCCACTGAAATAATACAAGTTGAAATGTCTGTTTCAAGGTTCAGTATCAGGGCCTTTTATGGGTTTATCAACAGGGTCCCTGATACCTTGAAGCAGGCATTTCAGCGTGAGCAAAGCATCATTTAAACACATTACACTGAAATAGCTGTTGGCAGATTAACATTGTGCCAATAGCAGGGCCGTGTGTTTAATACCTATAGTGAGGAGATGTTTCACATAGACGCATGTTTCACATCACTTGGCCTATGGAGAGTTCTCTGCATTTGCCTGCCAGCAGTCATTATCTCTGTGACAGCACTGAAGGTATCGTCTCGGCCCCCTGCAGGAGAAAGGGGAGAATGCACTGCACCAAGCTGTCTTATTGGCTGATCGCACCTCCCTTCACATGGTAGACTTCCTTGTGCACAACTGGTAAGGAGCTGGGGCTGCTGTGGGGACGGCTGCTGATGTAGCTCTGTTTTAGTGCATTATATTACACATGCATTATCACGCTACTACAATGCTCACGAGGAGCTGCACAGTGCAGGCTAATTCTCCGATAAAGATGTAGCATTGCAGCTAGTTTGGTGAGTTATCAGAGGACGCCTTCTGGGATTTACATCCCTCTCGCACAGCCTTGGCAGAGAGACGCATGTACGCCATGTTACTGTGCCCATAAACCGAGCCTGGGGGGGGGGATTATCTGAGCATTTAGTAATGGAAGAAACCAAGCAATCAAACTGACACTTAGGATGCAGTTAAAGAGGTCATGGGACTTAAGCTTTGATGTAGATGACAAGACCTGGCTTGGGGGTTTGGGTATAAGGTCCCATTGACATAAGCTTATTGATAAACAGATTATTTTCCTTATCCTTCCTCCTCGGTGCTGAAGCTGAGTTTAAATATTCACAGTGTCCTTCATGGGTGGAGGGGTGGATCTGTGCCAGTAACTGGAAGGTTGCTGGTTCAAATCCCATGAATGCCCCGAGTAATAATACTCCATTGGGCCCTTGAGAATGCCCCTTAACCTACAATTGCTTTGTCTTGGGTATAACATTACTCTACATCCAGCCCTATGAGGAGGTCCTCCAACTTACAGGGAAAAACTTGGGGCTTGGTGGCAGGATTGGCACTCCAGCCACTGGAAACAAACTCACACTGGTCCATTCTGACTGGTGTGGTGCTGAGGTGTCACCCGCCACATGGCGTCACTCAGGTTCTCACCCCTGAGGTGGTTTGTCATGTGATGGGTGCAGCAAAGCACTGTATCAGTGCATGATCTTTACCTCTTTATTGTATGCCTGGGTAAACCACACCTGTTTCTGTTTGACAGTCATTTTTAATATAACATAGAACATCAAGGTATCAGAAACGTGTTTTTGTATTTATTATTTTGTAACTTTATTTTATAGATTAAGTTCTACTGTTCTATACTGCCAATTGTTAAGCTGATAATGGTATTTTATTTCCACTTTGTAATACATGATAATAGCTCCTTTAAAAAGTTTCTGTCCTCTTTAATATGGTTGTATTCAGGGCTTGACATTGGCACCCGCCCACCCGCCAAATGCGGGTAAAATTCGACTGTGGCGGGTAATAACTTTAGTCTCACTAGCCACTTTGCCGGGTAGTTTATTCTTTGGTATGACAATATATTTTTGTTGTAGTTTCCTCTAAAGGCATCTAATAAACGCATTACAACGTAATATCACGCGCATAAAACTCCCATGAGCACCTATATCAACATTCTGATACAACTTGTTTAGAACGTGCGTTAACGTCTCTGTTAGCAGTGATAACCTGCGATAAGAAGCTGTAAAGTTACTCTCAACTACTTGGACAGTATTATGTGGCGGCATATAACTGGCGTTTCAGACCCTGCTGGTACTGCTGTAAATAAACAACAGGAACAAGATAAGAGGAAGGTAAGACAGTTTAATGAGAAATGGAAATTAGGGCGAGATTGGCTAGTTCATTGCAAAGAAAAAAACACCATGCACTGTTCAGTTGTACTGAATCTGTTATTTTTCAATTTCATGTCGTAAGAGGCTTGAATTTAATTTCAATAAACAGAATATACTGTTCATGTTTGCATGTTTTTATATTGGGAGCTATCTTAACAGTACTGAATACTTGACTACTACTATAGTGATACATTGTACGCTGTCATAAGTAAATCTAGATCTAACAAACATTAACGTATCATGGTGAAGAAAAAACTGCGATTTTCTGGTAACAAAATTGTGGCTAGTAAAAATACTGAATGGCTAGTGACTCCGGAAATCCAGTAGCCACATTGGCCAGTGAGCAAAAAAGTTAATGTCATGCCCTGGTTGTATTGTAACTGCATGGTATTTAGGCCAGGTTGCCTGCCCCCCCCCCCACTTCAAACTTCAGCTAGCCCTGTTTCAGGGTCTAGGAGCGTCCAGCGTTGACATTCCCCACAATGCTTTTTCCATAAGCTCACCAGAGCTGTTTTCCCCAAAAACCTTTTTTTCGTAATGAAATTGCTACAAAGACATCTGGTGAAGTTATGAGAAAAGAAATATTATACAGTATTATACTGAACTGAGCAGCTCTTCCTCTTACAGTTCGAACCAAACGGCAGCTAGTCAGAGCAAGTCTGTGTAATCAACCCCACGATCAGCGCTGATGGTGATGATGCAACATGTGGCTTGTTTTGTGTTGCGGTCCCAGTAACAACCTGGATGCGCAGACGGCCCGCAGGAACACGGCTCTGCACTACTGCTGCCTGCACAACAAGACCGAGTGCCTGAAGCTGCTGCTGCGTGCCAAGGCCAACACGCACATCAGTGAGCTCCCTCACACCGAGCTCACTGGCGCCCCCATCTGGCTGGCTGCGGGATCCTCTCTGGGGCTGCCCCTGAAGGATCCCCCAGCCGTGACTCCCAGTATTGCTGTTTCAGTGCATCCTCAGCATAGAATGCAGGGGGTTTAGCAGACACCAGCTGTACGTGCTACAGGTCACATCAATGTGACACACTTCTTGGATAAGAAGTGTCACATGTCAGAGCATGAGCAATTTCTTTAGCATAGAAAAATAGTAGAAAATGTCAAACAATTGGGGGAAAAGCTTAGCTTTGGGTAATATTACTCTTCCAGGTTCTCAGGATAGATTGGATATCAGTGTTGTGGAGAATTTGCCGGACTTCATCATATGCTCACTATAAAAGTTTTAGCAGAAGACAGTGTGGATTTGCAGTGCTGATAAGCTTCTTCTACTCAGCCGGCTAACAGACGTGCCATTTCCAGCATTATAACTTATGACATTTTTGGAGTCCTGACTGCGGATGCTTTGTTCAGCATTTTGTCCTCCGTGTAAACCGGCTTTTGGTGGGGGCAGGACTTGATTAACCTTGTATGCCGAGCAGTAGGGGATCCCACCCATGTGTTTCTCTGCAGAGAACGAGGCTGGGGAGACCTGCTTGGACATGGTGCGGAGGCTGAGGCACACGCACTGCGAGGAGCTGGTGTGTCCCCCGCCCTGCCTGTCCCGCACAGCGCTGTAGCACTTTCTCACTGGTTTCTTACCAAGTTCTAGCACTGTGCTCCACACTTCACTGGAAGCTCACTTGATATTTCAAGTTACTTGCAGTCCAGTCCTTCATTTTATTATTATCATCATCATCATCATCATCATTATTATTATTATTATTATTAATCTTCACATGCTTCATTTTGGGAGCCTATCCCATTCCTGGATGGGATGCCAGTCCGTCGCATTTCACACGCTCACACGTGCACTGAAACACCACTGCTGAGTTAGAGATACACATTCATGCGTTTGAGCTGTGGGGGGAAATTTGGGGGAAACATTTACAGTCTACCACCTACCATAATCAGCAGTCTCATTTATTTGTTTGTTTATTTGTTTGTTATTGTTTTTTCCTTAGTGCATGTATTTTCGGCACTGCTGCCCCCTAAGTTTAGTCCTTTGTGTGAAGAATCCAGAGTAATGCAGAGGAAACTTCTGCAAAGTCGTGCTGTATAGGTCTGGCACTTCTCAACTGGGTTCCTCTATTGTGTTGTGTGTGTGTGTATTATCTTTATATTAGTTTTTTGACATTGTGGGGACCATTTCTTAGGTTAGGTTAGGGTAGGGGTTGGGGTTAAGGTTGTCATTTTTGGGATTAGGGCTTTGCCCATAGAAATTAATGGACGGTCCCCACAAGGATATGAGTACAGGTGTTTGTGCGTGTGTGCGAGCGGGTATACCTTACCTTATGGGATGATGGCCTTGAATATCCACACAATGTGATGAATACGCATTTTTTCCCTTATGGGGACCATAAGGGAAAAAAATAAAAAAATAAATGAAAAAACTAAAAATGCAAAAACTCTTGTATTTTGCTTGGTTACTTATGGTTATGGTTAGGGCAGGGTGGGGGTTAAGGTTGTTATAGTTAGCATTAGCATTTTTCCCATAGAAATGAATGAGCGGTCCCCATAAAGATATGTTTACCCGACATGTGTGTGTGTGTGTGTGTGTGTGTGTGTGTGTGCACATTCTCTGGATCACTGCACCTCCACTGGCAGACCATTGGTAATTGATTTTGGAGTTTAATTCATCAGGGCATCGGAGAAGGGGCTGATTGGTACTTGTTTCTGCCTGATGCCTCCAGATAAACCAGTCGCAGAGTAATCAGTTCAACATGCACTTGCACGTGGAGTATGAGTGGCGCCTCCGACAGGACGACTTGTACGAAAGCGACGATGACCTGGATGACAAGGTTGGGGCCAGATTGGGGGTGGGGGGTCACCTCAGTGTGCAGACCTGGAGATGCTTTGGCTTTCTGGTTAGACTAGTTAGATTCAGTTAAGTATCCATAGGAACTTACATAACTGACTTGCCCATTTCTGATTGGATTTTTCTGAAGCCCTCCTCCATTCCTTACCTTAAGCTACAACAGCATTGGTCTTTCTTGGTGTATTTGAGCACTTTGCCACCTGCTGGCCCCTACGTGTCATCATTTCTCATGCCCTGAGATGTCTGTGTAGATGGGCCCAGTGAAGAAGGAACGCTCCAATCGGCCCGTCAGCCTGTACCATGCCTCGAGTGGGGGTGGGGGGGCCCACCCAGAGCGGCTGGCGGGGGCTGGAGCCGCTCACAGCACGAGTCGCAGGCTGACTGTGAGCCACGAGCACCGGCGAGACGTCTATGCCTTGCCGCCCCTGCAGACACGCAGCCTGGACAGCCCCCCCCCACCACCCCCCTCCTCGCCTGCGCCCCCCCTCCCTCCCAGGGTTAAAGGTGCGTTTACGGTCCTCATCTACCCTTCATTATTCAACCGCACATTGCTTTTACAACCTTTTGATTTGTCTTTTGTTTGTTTATGTTTGTTTGTCTGTTTTTCACCATGGTCGGGCCCTAGCTCCAAATGTCCCACCTCCCCCCCCCCCAGTCAGCCCACCCGAGGGCTGGAGCGAAACACTGGCCAATAAGAAGCGGACCCCTCCCCCACCACTAGTGATCCGCCACAAGCGTACCTACTCTGAGCCTTCCCCACAGGTTCCTCACAGCCCCCATTCTCTGCGCCAGGTCCCTGTGGGTATGTGACACGTTCCTGTCCCCTCCCTGGGGGTTTTGGGTGGGGAGTCTCCCTCCCTCACACACTAAACGCATTGCCCTGTACTTTAGATTACTCAACGCCCAGCGGGAGAGGCTACGGGGGACTGGAGTCACCCTTCCAGAAGTCTGTGTGAGTAAACCAGTGTGGAAACTTTAATTTTTCTCTTCTTATTTGGCACTAAATCAAATACAGTTGACCTTTGGAGTAATTGGGCTATTTGAAATCTTAAGTGTGTAAGTCTCACATTGAAGTCGAAAAATGAAACAAAAAATCTTGGGTAAATGTTCAGTCTTTTGAGTCTCCGCCTGAGTTCCATGTGTGTGGAGCTTGCATGTTCTCCCCGTGTCGTCGTGGGGTTTTCTCTGGCTTCCCCCCACAGTCCAAAGACATGCTGAGGCTAATAGGAGTTACTAAATTGCCCATGCGTGAGTGAATGGTGTGTGAGTGCGTGAGTGAATGTTGTGTGAGTGTGTGAGTGAATGGTGTGTGAGTGTGTGAGTGAATGGTGTGTGAGTGTGTGAGTGAATGGTGTGTGAGTGTGCCCTGCGATGGGCTGGCCCCCCCATCCTGGGTTGTTCCCTGCCTCATCCCCGTAGCTACCGGGATAGGCTCCGGACCTCCCGCGACCCAAGAAGGATAAGCGGTTTGGAAAATGGATGGATGGATGGATGGATGGATGTTCAGTCTCTGATGCACATGCTGGAAAAATTTGCACCAGATAATATGCTGACAGTTTAATGGGTGGGCTTTCAGTGTATGTGGTCATTGGGAGGAGATGTTTGTTGGCCATGGTCTCCAAGACTCTCCCACCCGCGATGGATCATTGGTTCCCATGTCACACAAACATCTACCAGTGACCAGCACATGGCTAGTTGATAGGGCGTTACACTTTATATCAAATTCATGCACTCTGTTTACCAGAGAGGACACATTGTGGCTCTTCATCCTGGAATGAAACGAGGGTTGCAGTGTCTTTCCAGTGCCTGTATCCTCTGGCGGTGACAGCCGGGCCGAGCAGCCGATGCCCTGTGACTATTTTGTGTTTTTTGTTCACAGCTCAGGGTCGCCAAAGTACGCCGTGCCAGCTCTCAACTCGCTGCCCGAGCTGCCAGAGAGAGGTGTGTGCTTGACTTTCACCTTCAGCTCATCGAGTTCCACTTCAGCACGATATTATTCCATGTTTATACCGGATGACCTAATAGAACATAGCTCAGCTTCGCAGTTTTAACAAAACAAACAAACAACAAAAGAAACAACTCAAAAAAATGAACTTAATGCGCCTGTAGCTGTCTCCTCTCTCCAGCTTCTGAAAGATGTTCTTTTGCTATAGTGAAATGTTCTTTCATAGCATAAGTTTGCAGTTATGTAAGCTGATATTTCTTTAGGGTTCAGAGGCGACGCTGAAGATAATCCACAGCAGCCCATCTACCAGATCCCCCAGGCCAGCGGTCGCACTCTTCACTTCAGTCACCCTGCCAACTCCAGTCCTCTCGCCACTGAACCCAATGGAGCTTCTTCTAGTCATCACAGCCATCAGGGATCCACGCCTGATCCCCTGCCCAGGAAATCACTGGTAAGAAGTGGCGAGTATCGGATTGGCTGTGATATTTAGGAGTACCCAATACGATTTGAGATGCTAATGTTGCTACATGTACACACTGCAATGTCTGATCTCTGCTATTAGCTTTTGTCATGTTTGCTCCTATCCCTGTGCCACATGCAGACAACAGTTATCCTGACTGTATTTTGCCAACAGTTCAATCTGTTTGAATCTGGACCTTTATATCAGTAAGAGCAACATCCTGCTCGTAAAGGATTGACTCCACAGTCTGCTGAGAACTTCCGTGCTTAACTTTTCCCTCGATTTGGTACATTCCAGTCATTTGACAGACCTGGCATCTCTAACGGGCTGCACAGCCGAGCCGCGTGTCTGATTCTTCTCACAAGCCGTGGGCCTTAGCTTTTTAGAGGTACTGACAAAATGCCTAGATGGACTGCCAGCATGCTTAATAATAATAATAATAATAAAGTTCATTACTTTTTACACTTATTTTTAGGGCTTTGAATTGATTAAAAGATTAACTAATTAATCAAACACTTTTCTCTAATTAATCTCAATTAATTACATCTAACATAAAATTTACAGTCATAAATATTTACACATTGAAACTCCAAATTACTGTAGAATTACTACAAGAGGAGTATATGGGTCATTCTCACAATTTCTTTATTGTAACATAGAGTTTTACTGATTATTAAAATTACTTTGAAGACTAAGTCAAATTATACAACTTAATTGTTTAAATTGTCGATTTTGCCTCTGGGGTACTTAATCAGTTTTGTTATATTACCATTTATTTATATAACAGACAAACATATTTACTCAGATCCCGGGCAAGAGTTACAGAGATGGGAAAAAATAATGTACACCAACCATTAAGCTAAAATTTACATATTATCATACAGATTGATTGTTTATTGAGGGGTACGTGCAATAGAGTTGAAAGATTTAAAAGCATCTAGTTTTTTTATTTTTTGATTTTCAGCTAACTATTTGGGGAAAATGGCAAAAAAAAATCATGAAATCAGAGCAACAAATGACAATTTTAATATAGCTAAAAAGCTAAGGAAATATCAAACACAAAAAACACATACTGTATTTCAATGTAACATTTTTTCCCCAAAAAAAGTGTCAAGCTCGTGAAAATGACAAACTTGTGATGTGTTTTTGTGATTGTTCATTTCCAGCAGAAATACTACTTGTAAGTACAATAAAAAGATGGTATTGTATTATAAGTAGGGATGTTAAGGTGTGTAATTAAAAATAACAGTTTAACAATTAATGTTATATACCACATGTACATATAATCGCAGGTACTCAACAGGCGTATCGACACACTAATCCTGACCACGTGATCAATCTAAAATCTGAAATTTAATTGCCAAATAGCTTTAAGAGCTGAAGCCTGACAACCACTGTCCACATAATACCATGAAAGATGTTTAAAGATGTAAGTCTTCAATAAAATAAAAGGAATACTGCGAATTACAATGATTTTATTTTGTTTATTTCTTCGTTGAATATTCCCTCCAGCACCCCCCCCCCCCCTCTATGGAGGACTACTTTATTTTTAATTGAAGCCACCTTCCCACCCACCCCTTACCCTCATTATACCCAACCAAACCAAATAATTGCATAAGGTTTGACTTATGTCTAGTGTTCCAGTCAAGCAGAATAGTTTTCTTGGTGATAGTTAAATCAATGAGTATAGGTTTTGTATTTTGGATCGGTGGGATGATTACTGAAGGATCTCCATGCATGCAGAGGGATGGAGATGTTGTGCAGTCTACGCATGTGTCAGACACTGTAAGACCTTAGATCTTATACATCCTGTGCTGGGTGATGTGAATGACCTTGTATTGTATTAGTTGTAAATTAGTGTTAGTCAGTCACTGTGAAGTTGTTTCTGCAAATATTGGTCCAGAATTCAGTGTTGGTTGTGATTGATAAGTCTTCTTCCCATGCTTTGATTGGGATGGAAATTATTGTCTACGCTTGGTATTAGTTTGTATAATTTGGAAAGGATCTTCTTTTGGTCAGTTATTTTATTGATTTATTGATCTTCTGCTAATGGTGGAGGGAGTACGCTGTTATTTGATATATTGATTTTAATTGGAGGCACTAAAGGAATGCTTCTATCCCGATGTACTTCTGGAGCAGATGTTGAAAAGTAATGAGGCTGTCATTCTGGAAAAGGTGGCGGAGCTGTGTGATACCTCTTTGTTCCCATGTGTTAGAGATAAGTGTTTTTTGTTGAATAGAAAGTCTGGGTTATTCCATATTGGAGTGTATTCACAGGTTTTGTTTATTTTCCACCAAGCTGTCAGAGTCGTCGCAATTACATTGTTATTAAAGCAGCTGTGGTGTATGTTTATAGTAGCATTGAGGAATGGAAGATCAGAGACTGAAATGTCTTTACATTCTGATCGTTCTCTAACCATGAACTGTTCTGGTGGTTTAGGTGAATCCAGTTGTAGATATTAAACTATAGCTGATTTGCCAAATAATAATTTTGAAATATTAGTGCTTCTAATCCTCCTTGAGTTTTATGTTTCTGTAACATGACCAGTTCAATTCTTGGAGTTTCCAATAGAATTTGCTCATAATGGAATTTAGTGATGAACTATTTAGTGGTAAGCTGTGTTGGAATTATTGTGAAAAGGTAATTGATTTTTGGTAATATTTTTATAATTGGTATTCTGCCAATTAATGAAAGGGGTAAGTTAACCAGTTTAATTAAGTCTTCTTCTATTGTTCTTATTAATAGGGTAAAATTTAGGTGAGACAACTCTGACAGTCTGGAGGAAATATTTATACTAAGGTACTTGAGGTGACCAGTGGTAATGGGGAGAGGTTGGTTTTGACCTGCATTATTCCAATATTCACCACATATAGGGAGGATTGTTGATTTTGCCCAGTTTATGGCATAGTCAGAAATTTCAGAGTGTGAATGAATGAGTTTGATGCCTTCTTGTTGAGATTTTGCTGGATCTTGTAGATAAAGCAAGACATCATCCGCATAAGGATTAATCTTGTGTTGTGTATTGAGAGTTTGAATTCCCTTGATATTTTTGTTTTGACATATAGCAGCAGCAAACAAAGAGTGATGGAGAGAGTGGGCATCCTTCCCTAGTCCCCCTGTGCAGTGTGAATGCTGTGATGTTAGTTCATTAGTAACCACTATGGCCGTTGGTGAACTGTATGGTATTCTTATCCACTGAATAAATGACTCTCCAAAACCAAATTTATGTAGTGTCTCAAATAAAAATGTCCCATTTACTCCATCAAATGCTTTTTCTGCATCTAATGATATAATTATTGTTTACATTTTGTTTTGCTCCGATACATTAATTAAGTTGAATAATCTGTGCATGTTATTTGATGTGTGTCTTCCTTTGAGGAAATCGGTTTAATCTAAATGTGTTTATGAAGAGTTAAGAGTTTCAAGACGAGTGGCTAGTGTTTTACAGGTAATGTTGATATCTGTGTTGATGAGTGATAGGGGGCGGTAACTGGAGCCGAGAGCAGGGTCTTTATTGTGTTTCAGTAATACTGTAATGAGGCCTGTGTTCATGTGTTGTGGGATTTTTGACTTGTGTTTAATATTTGTGTTTACCATTCTGGGAAATAGCAGTGAGATTGTGTTCCAAAAATGTTTATAGAACTCAGCTGGAAAGCCATCAAGTCCTGGAGCTTTATTTTCTGGCATTTTACTAATGATTTATTGATGATGATTTAATCCTGTGTGTGCCTCTGTCTGGCAGTTTTTTAAAAAACAAAATAAATCAGGGTGGTATTCCACAAAGTTAGCTGTTAGCTGGATAACTTAAGTCAAATGTGAAAACAGTCCAATAATAGGAGAGATAAGTGACCGTCTTATTGGACAGTCCTTACATTTGGCTTAAATTATCTGGCCAATGAAGAAATCCTGCTTTGTGGGGATACCCTGGTAACATCAGCTTCCCTGGGAGACACTAACTAAATGTTTAGATTTTTAGCTATGAATTCTGGGATACTGTGCAATGTCATATCCTACACTCTCATGCTGCTTACAACCAGGAAGAAATATCATATAATAAATATTTGCTCATATTATTGTCCCATTTGGTTATCAAAAAAAACGCATGAGATAATGCAGTCAAAGAAACAAAAATGCATGAAAACACATTAATGAGATATATTTCTCAGCCCTACTTATTTTGTCCATGGTTATTTTAATACTTTAATATGAAATTATTTTTATATGAAACTATCTTTCATACTTCCTGTTTTTCTACTTTCTATTCTGTTCAAGGTGAGGCCCAGGGTGCGGAAGGTCAAAGCCATTTATGACTGTGTGGCTGACCACCATGACGAGCTGACTTTTAACGAGGGCCAGGTGCTAGTCGTGCTGGAGGAGGACGATCCTGACTGGTGGGTAGGTGCTCCCTGTCCGGGCCCCCCGGGGAAGGGCCGCCTTTTCCACCAATAAAGCCGCAGATGGCCAGACGCCTGCGTCACATGTACTGGCCTCACCCAGCGGCGGAGACTCTGACCGCTTCGGGTGGGGAGGAAATGACAGCAAGGCATGTGCAGAGATCCAGCCGCGTGGCAGGACTGCAATGACTCATGGCTGGAAAAGGCTTACGGGCAACATTTGGCTCAGAAGTGTCAGGAAATGACCTTCTAACAAGCTCTTCTCTTTTTATTATTAATCATTTTTATTTGCTGGTTTTTTAATTATTTTTAATTACTCAAAAAGCCATATATGCAGAGCCATTCGTTTTGCTGTATAATGAATGAGTTTGGAAAATCCAATTGGATTTATGAAGTTCATCTAGCGTTTATGAAGATATATCACGTCTGGCGATAATCATCGCAGTGTATATTGTTTTCTGGCTCCACTATACCACAGTGCATGAAATCAAGTCCTTGCATGGGGCCCTGTAGTCATCATAGGGGCCTCGTGCTTGTGATTCATGGTGTGAGATGAGCGCTTAGACATGTGACATGGGTCATTGTAGTAGAACGGTTCTTGAAGCGTGACATGAAGTGTGTGATGTGAGGCCGGGGGGGGAACATGGGGTGCTGCCTAGTATGTGCACTGCAGAGGAGGAGCCTGGCCTGAAACTCTTAGCCTCCATGGTCAGGTTAGGAAACCTTCTGGTTCCTGTTTCCAGAGAAGTCTGGGAGGTGTCCAGCGGACAGGCCTGCACTCGGGCGCGTGATACTGAAATCACCACTCATGAGCTCGTTGCGAGAAATAAAGGAGATTTACTATTTCTAGCCATCGTAATTGTCCTCGAATGAAATAATGAAGTTTATTGACCCAATAAGTTCATAGTTATGAGGAATTTGTCTTACAGTGACATATAAGAGAATGGTGTACGATGGCGTATGGATAGGAGGAGAATGAAAAGTAAAACATCTCTCAGACTCGAGCGTAGGTCTACATTATACAGCCCACCTAAATGTGCAGTGCTGGATATCAGCAGGGGTAATGATCTGCATAGACACTGGTGGATGTGTCTGTCATCAGAAGATCAAGCAATGAGTCTTAAAGACTTTTTGCTAAAGTTCTTCTGAAAACACATCAAATTAACATGTCATTTTCAATACAGGAGAAATTTTTTCTAGGAAACTGTAAGAGTACACGACTGAAGTGTAGCCAAGCAGACAGCGAGATGTGTTTATGAGGGGGCCGGTGATGTGTGCGATTGACGCCCCCTTCCGTTCTTCTCATTGCAGCATGGATACATCGAGGGCCAACCCAGCAAGAGGGGCCTCTTCCCAGCATCCTTTGTCCACATCCTGTCTGAATAGAGACTGGGCGACTGGAGCGTTGCCGCATTCCTGAGAGACTGTTACTCCATCAGGACGGACCTCACTGCGGCTCGCTGCCTTCCCCTCTGGCTTTATGTGAGAACGGCGTCTACCTGGTTGTAGACCCAAGGACCAGCATCACCTGTGCTTTTGTGTCCATGAGCAGTAAGGTCCTTTCTGAAGGCAATATCCCTCACGTATGGTGCGTCTTTATTCGTCTGCAGACCGTTAGGTCACGTTTCAGAGGAATGCATCTTCTTTCCATAATTACTTCATTACCTGCCAATCTGGGTGAAAAACAAAATGTTCACGTGTATTTTCTGAAAATTGTCGACGCCATCCCTTTGTGGTAATACTGGTCCAGATGAACGGTGAACAAGCATCTGTCCCAGAGCTGGAGTGGGAGTCTTACCTCTATGAGGGATGACAGTATGGTAAAGTAGCAGTTTACTGAAGTGCGGAGTGTGTGGGCTGTTTATATGCTTAGAAAAGATAAACAAAGGAAAACAAAGTGTCAGTGTGACACAGTGTGACAAAAGCAGTGTGGCTTCACTATACACTATCTAAACAGCTGAGCCAAGGTGTGCTTTGCATTCATAGACTTCAAAATGAGAGTCTGTTTGGCCAGTTGACGTGTGCAGTGAACTGCACGAGGACAGAAAGGTGCCAATCCTTAGATCTTCTGCAGCTGTAACTTCAGAAAGCAAGACTCTACAGTGCACTCTCTGAAATCAAAGGCCTTGCTGAGAAGCAGTCGGCAATTTTTCTATTTTGTTTCCACACCAACCTCTACAAGAGAAAAAAAATATCCAATATAATAGAGCTTTTAGGGTACAAAACAAGCAAGGTAGTGAAACCTGCAAGGGGAACACAGTGGCTGTGTGTGCTTCCAGAAAAATTATTTTGTTTGGAACCCTCTACACACACGCACACATCAGGTGAACATATCCGTATGGGGGCCGCTCATTCATTTCTATGGGAAAAATGCTAACGCTAACTATGACAACCTTAACCCCTACCCAGCCCTAAGCATAACCATAAGTAACCAAACAAAATGCAAAAAAGAGTTTTTGCATTTTTAGTTTTTTCATTGCAGTCACAGATTTTTATTAAATTGAGTTTTCCCTTTTGGGGACTAAAAACGGGTATTCATCACATTGTGGGGACATTGTGTCCCCATAAGTTAAGGCATACCCGCACGCACACACACGCACGCACGCACGCGACTCAAAAAGAAGTACTTGAATACGGTCTGTATTATTTGCATATTAGAGGTGGCAATCCATTGTTATTCAACTTTGTTCAAATTGCTTTATTTTTCTATAGGACTCCACAATGATACGTTTCCTATTTGTTGGGTGGTTTCCTGTCTGTGCTCTGTTGCTGTTATATCCATATTATATATCAGAACAAAGGATTTGTTTTATGAATAGTATTTTGAAACAATAGTTTTAGACGAGGAAACATTTGTAATGCTTAAATATTTTAAGAAAACAAAGACTATCCTCAGGTTCATTTGACTTGTCTGGAGGTAATTCTATAACTCATTTTTATTAAAAGTATTATGTACCTCATATTACAATTCTTAATTTTCGAGTAATTTATATCTTTGAAGGATTCATTTAAGCAGCCAGGAGTTGTGGAAGATGAACTTCTGGTGTGTGAGCGTGCCTGCAGATATTGTAAACGGTACTATTGTCATGAAAGTGATTAAAGTCAGGTGACCTGTTGCAGGTGTCCGGATACATTTCCTGCACTCTCCTGTTGTGTGTCCCTGTATCCGCACATTCTCTGCGTCTCGCATCCAGCTGGGAAACACTGACACATACTCGACACACAGCTCCATTTTCCCAAAAGCATTTATTGAGAGAAATATCAAACATTCACACCAAACAGCAGAGAACATAACTGCTGAGTGTGAATGATTCAGAGTGTTTGGAAGGGATTCCGAAACACTTCTTTGGCCTTACAAGACAAGCAGGGTCTTTTCTACGAGATATCTGGTTTTCTTTTATGCATCGTTATTAATATTGTTTAAGTGGTACTGGATGCCTTCATTTCAAGTGGACCGTCCTGTCCAAACGGTTCTGAAGGCCCTCACTGCAGAACTTCAGCTACTGATACTGTATGACTTAGTCCATTTACTAGGTGGCACTCCTGTGAAAGGCTGAAGAACTCGCAAAGGACTAGATCAATAAAGCATTGCTTCCACACTCATCCAAATTATTAAAATTAACATTCTGACCACTTCAGTCATTTACTATGATGACCAGTATTCACCTCTGATATAAAAGGTTCTGTATTATCAAGTAGTTAGATAAGCAACAGATCCAGTTGAAATGTTACACAATGAAAAAATTTTGCTCAGCAAATTGATGTCACATAGTATTCTATGGTAGTTATGGAACACGAAGGTAATCTGTATAACTAATACTATATTCTTGTAATATGTTTTTATTCTCCATAAAATCTTTTTTTTTCCTCAATTTACCACTATGTATTTCAATTTAATGTCAAAGTTTGACTATTGTGTAATGTCCCCCTATGATGAAAGCATTCCATGACGGTGTGGTGGACACAGTGACTTGTACAGGGTTTTTATTCAAGATGCCATGTGTTGTCACTGCTAGGGGTACAGATTCAAAGCAAACCCCAGCTGTGTCTGGTAACCACGGTAAAGCTACTTTCTTTTAGTTCAAAATGTAAATGCTGTGTGCCTGTCTCAGTTACTGCAAGTACTTTATGGTGGACGGAGCATCCAGGCTTCATGACTGCCATAAACGGCACGCTGGATTAGCACAGGTTGTCACTGATGTACAGATGCAAGTGAGGTAGTTAAAGATCAACAAAACGTGACAGAACCACCAGAAGCAGAAAGTAAAATTTTTCAACAAATACTTAAAATGTATCTAATCACAATGCTGTATTACAAAAAAATGTATACATGTATATATATACTCACTCACTCAAGTGACAGATTACAGCGTAAATGGAACTGAATTAAGTGATTTCTCAGAAACAAGGTATTGACTTTCCCAGTTAAAAGAAGTTGGACGGTTTAATTACCAGAGTGTTGAGGGCGATCCCTTTAGCCTGACCAATGCAACAATGCAAAGATTTCAGATGGATTTACTCAATATTTATGGACCTCTGACTGCTAAAGCTTCATAGTTTTCTTTAAACAGAAATTACATTAAGCTAAAGATACCTTGAATTAAGAGATATATTAACAGTGACCTTAGTTTTGGAACGCTGAAGGTAACAAGGCCCGACCGTGTAGGAATAAGGGACGGTTTGGGATAACACTTCTCTGAGATCTTTGGTCAAGAAAGGCCTGGCAAAAGTCTCTGCCTGAACAACTGTCTGCTCAGTTTACAGTGTAGTTGTTTTATCCATTATAACAACAACCACAACTAATTTCCCTCCTTGCAGTCGATAGCATTGCACTATTCACTGTATATTACTAATTTGGTTTTCAATGCAAAGCATCCACTGGTTAACAACATTCTGCAGAAACAGAAACAGCATCATATCGCCTATACAGCATCTATGAAATTAATCATTAAAATGAAATGTAAAATATATAACTAATCATAAAAAGGCACTAGATATAGAATTTATAACGTCAGGGTGAAAAATAAGGTTCTTCAGTTCTTATTGGAAAAGGCTCTTTTAGTAGATCATCCATATCAGGAAAGTGCTGTTTGTCTTGATCAGCTTCAGAGTGATCAGGGATTCACAGGTAAGAAGACTGTGTGGGTTCTGACCCAACACAACACTGGTCACTTTTATCCCTATAGCCTCACGGGCACTATGCCCAGTCAAGGCAGTGAGGTTTAGGAGAATCAGTAAGGCGACTCGGTACAGCATATCAAAGTGTGCAAGAAAAAAAAAAAACACGACAAACTGGCTTTTCCAAAGTTATTTTCCCTCAGTTGGTTATTCTGACTATGACTGTTGCCATCTGCATGCTTTCATACATATAAAAACATTTATATTTGGTTTCAAAGCTGTCATGTGATCTGACACTTTCGTTCTTCTTGGGTCGTTCACAGTGCTGGTACAGGGTAAAGTTCTTCCCCAGGGAAGGTCAGGGGGCTTTTTCCTCCTCCAAGATGCCTCCACAACCCCCCACCCCACCACCACCATCAAGTTCTGCCTAACCCCACTTATGGTCGTGCACCTTTAGATCAGACTCTCCTGCGGATTCCTCCAAAGCTTGATCTTGCCCACAGCGTGCAGTTTCTCGATGATCTTCGTCTCGGTGTCCGCGTTGTGCACTCCAGTTTTCCGGAAGGCTCCGGCATACCTGTTCTTCTCCCAGTAGTGGTGCCAGTTTCCCTGTGAGTCTGCTCCGTAGCCAAACACAGACACCTGCAAGAACAATTAACAGAACCAGCTGAAAATAAGTCCAGTGACTGAAGTACTAAACCCATGTAAAAATGTCCTGGCAGGAGGCAGATTTTCCTAATTTATATACTGCAACTGATTTGCCACCGTGGTGAATCACAACTATTAAAGGGCAATTATTTTCTTTGGAGGCCATTTTTTAACGATTGCTTCCATGAAAGCTACAATAATAGACTTTTTTCGTTTTTACTTTTCCTTTTTTAAAAAATGCATATACAACCCCAATTCCAATGAAGTTGGGACGTTGTGCAAATTGTAAAGAAAAACAGAATGCAATGATATGGAAATCTCATAAACCCATATTTTATTCAGAACAAAACATAGAAAATACATCAAATGTTTAATCTATGAAAATTTATCAATTTAAGGAAAAGATAAGGTAATTTTGAATGTCATGGCAGCAACACGTCTCAAAAAAGTTGGGACAAGGCCATGTTTACCCCTGGGTGGCATCCCCTCTTCTTTTAACAACAGTCTGTAAATGTCTGGGGACAGAGTTGCTCAGTTGCTCAAGTTCTGGGAGAGGAATGTTGTCCCATTCTTGTCAGATACAGGATTCTAGTTGTTCAACTGTCCTAGGTCTTCTGTGTCATAATTTTCGTTTTATGATGCACCAAATGTTCTCAATGAGTGAAAGATCTGGACCACTGGCAGGCTAGTTCAGTACCCGGACCCTTCTTCTACGAATCCATTATGTTGTAATTGATGCAGTGTGTGGTTTGGCATTGTCATGTTGGAAAATGGAAGGTCTTCCCTGAAAGAGATGTCGTTTGGATGGCAGCATATGTTTCTCTAGAACCTGGATATACCTTTCAGCATTGATGGTGCCTTTCCAGATATGCAAGCTGCCCTTGCCATATGTACTAATGCACCCCCATACATCAGAGATGCTGGCTTTTGACCTGAGTGCTGATAACACGCTGGGTGGTCCTTCTCCTCTTTAGTCTGGATGATACGGCATCCCTGGTTTCCAAAAAGAATTTCAAATTTAGATTTGTCTGACCACAGAACAGTTTTCCATTGAGCTTTGGCCTAGAGAGGACATCAGCACTTCTGGTTCATGTTCAAATACAGCTTCTTCTTTGAATGATAGAGTTTTAACTGGCATCTTTGGATGACACGGCGAATTGTGTTCACTGATAATGTTTTCTGGAAATATTCCTGAGCCCATTTAGTAATTTCCACTGCAGAATCATGCCTATTTGTGAGGCAGTGCTGCCTAAGGGCCCGAAGATCATGGGCATCCAGAACACTTGTCCCTTACACACAGAGATTTCTCCAGATTCTCTGAATCTTTTGATTATGTTATGTACTGTAGACGATGATATTTTCGACCTCTTTGCAATTTTACACCGAGGGACTTTTTTCCTGAAATTGCTCCACTATTTGTCGATGCAATATTAGGGGGATTGGTGATCCTCTGTCCATCTTTACTTCTGAAAGACTGCAACTCTAAGACGCTCTTTTTATACCCAGTCATGTTACTGACCTGTTGCCAATTGACCTCATTATTTGCAAATTGTTTCTCCAGCTGTTGGGTTTTTGCACCACTAACTTTTCCAGCCTCCTATTGCCCCTGTCCCAACTTTTTTGAGACGTGTTGCCATCATGAAATTCAAAATGAGCCAATATTTTTCAATAAATAGCAAAATGTCTACATGTTTATATGTTTTATATGTTCTGTTGTGAATAAAATATCAGTTTATGAGATTTCTATGTCATTGCATTCTGTTATTTACAATTTACCCTATGTCCCAACTTCATTGGAATTGGGGTTGTAGAAAGCAACAGAACTAGTGCATTTTCAGGGTTTACTTATTTATTTATTATTAATTCAAAGAAAACTGAATGGGCAAAAAATTGTTATGTCCAAGTCTGTGGAGATCAAAACTTGTTTTTTACTTCAATGATGAGGCAGGCTGGTAAAAATAGCTTCTTCCTTACAGCTCTGCTGTAATGGATTGTTTCTCCAATAATATTTTCCACAGAACTAGCCTGTTACATACACTATTGTTCAGCAAAATTGTCACAGTAACGTCTGCTGCTTATAATAAGCTTCCCTGCTGAGTCCGGTTTGGACCTACAGTACTGTACAAAAGTCTTAGGCAGTCAAAGAAAATGTTTATGGCTATCTTGTTAGTATGTGTATTTTTGCTCAAAAAAATACTATTTAACATTATAACTAGGGCTGTCAAAATTAACAGGTTAACGCGGATTAATCCATGATCATGATTAACCCATCTGCACCACAGAATGACTCAAAATCCCTGAAATGTCTCTGTCAACCCATTTTGGGCAGTTTTGGTGCATTCCATTTGCCCTCGGAACTTGTATTCTGAGTTTTGAAGCCGGAAGTGACGACATGCATGCTCCCGTTTCTCAGAGATCCGATATCTCGGAGCAGCACAGAGGATCCCGAGTTCAGAATCCAAGATGGCTGTGCCCTTTATCAACATAAGAACATAAGAACTATACAAACGAGAGGAGGCCATTCGGCCCATCGAGCTCGCTTGGGGAGAACTTAACTAATAGCTCAGAGTTGTTAA